GAGGTACGTAAACTGTTTTGTTTTCGCTTTTACACCCCCTGCGAAAATGGACCACTTTGAGCGATATGAACTGTCGCATCACACGCTTCCCCCTTATTGAATGAGACAAAAACATCCTTACGTACGTTCTTCTGATGAATTGGTTTGCGTGGATGAGGTTTCAGAAGAAGTCGATGACGTATCCTCACTTGAATCTGTCAGAAATTCTTCAGAAGAGGAAGTTGAGGAAGAAAACCTCTCGTGTGTGTCTCTGAATCAGAAGTAGGTTTTGAAATTAGGGACATCCCAAATATTCTAACTAGCAGAAGGGAAAGGTGAAAAAGCCCTAATCGCTGTTATTGTATTGGATGGGCCTAAAAGTCACTCTGTTGAGTAATGCTGACTTACCGAAATATATTAACGAGAAGTCCGCTTATTCTTCGTGCTGCTGCTACTGTACGAGCTGAACGAAGCCTCGGCATCTCAGCAGGTAGTACCCATTCGATGAACTACTACCAACACAATTGACCTGAAACAAGCGTCTCACATTCAGAACAGTCCATGATCGACTCTCATTAGTCACGGTGTAGTTACAGTAATATTCAGCGTTTATTTTTTTAAGTCTGCGAGGCTGATACATAATTTATTGACTGATATTTCGGCGAAGTCGCCTTCTTGGGAGCCTGTGAAGAAAGACGAACATAAGAGTGATTCCGAATACCTTAAAAGCTACAAGAAGAAAATCAAAGGCTTAGAAAACCAGTAGTGGTGCCTGGAACGCTGAGTTATGTGATCGCAGCGGTAAGAACAGCTTTCCCGGCACTAATGACTTTCTGACCCTAAGAGTTTTTTTTCTCGTAAATTGAAAGGTAACGCTCCGAAGAAGAAGAAGGCGATTCTGCCGGAATGTTGGCCAATTCTGTATCAATCTCGAAGAATGGAAAAACAAACGCTGAGTCGTCTCACTCTTTCAAATAGGTAACCCTAATAGAAACTTTTTAGAAAGTAACAGCGAAGAATTCATCAACCCTGTCCTATGCCATGGAATTTAGAAGCTTCTCATAAAATCACCCAAATGCTCCTCTCTCGAAAATCTTACCACTC